TTCCTCCTTGAACTTCTTTCCCACTGAGAGTTCAAAGCCTTCCCTGGGTGTAGAGTTGTTCCCGTACTTGTGTTTTCTCTATGTTTCAAAATTCCCAAAGCATTTTATTAGCTCTTCCAAGGGCAAGGAAAATATGCTACAGTGCAGGATTATCAAGATAAGAAACTTCTGGCTGCCACCTCATGTCAAAACAGACTGTGGAGATATGGCGGTGATGAAATGCAAATAGTAAAATCTGTGCCTCTCGTACCAGGAGAGCATAAATCTTGATTGAAGTGTTATCGCATTGTTGTGGTGGTTATTTTGTACTAACTCAGTCTCCTCCTGGGCTAGATGCTTCCTAAAGATAAAGGTCATTTGTGTTTCCCATTCTCCAGGGCCTGGAACAGTATCTGACATGCTCCACGTACACTATTAATGTCTGGAGGATGCTTAAAAGAAGCTCTTGGGTCCATAGTCAGTTACTCCTGCTCTTGATGTACACACAATTTTAACCAGCTTCTCTCATAAGAAGGCCATAGTGTGAGGTTTGTCTAGAGACAGAGTGATAGCTGTGAGGAATCATAGGCCCTGCTTCCTTCAAAAATCCCAGCAAAAAAGACAGAAATGGGGGAGGGAGTAAATTCAGAAGGTCATAGAGAAAAGAAATATAAATAATGATAGATAAGAAATACCACCAAAGGGGCTGGGGATTTAGCTCAGCGGCAAAAGCGCCTGCCTGGCAAGCGCAAGGTCGTGAGTTCGGTTCCCGGTACCGGAGAAAAACCAAAAAAAAAACAAAAAAATAAAATAAAAAAAGAAATACCACCAAAAAACAAGATCATAAGTGGCTACAGGACAGGTGGTTGAGCTGGCAAAGCCAGAATCCACAATCTTTCAGTGAGGGAAGCAAAAAAAATATGAGAAAATGCAGAGTGCTGGCAATGCTCAGGAACTAGATGCTCCTGTAGGTCTCAAGTTCAGGATGTGGAATGAGTTGAACCAAGTAAAATTATGACTACTGACTTCACCAAAGTTACATGGAGTCTGTATCATTGGAGAAATTAAATGGATAACACCTACAGTTGGTAAGTCTGGAGACGGCACAGAGGCATATTTCTGGCCACAGCAAGAAAATCCTCTGAAGAAACACCCAGAGCAGTTAAAAGCTCTTTCCATGATGAGAGGTATGAATCTCTACTCTTTGTTACAATGTTTATAGCATTTGACATTTACACATTCTATTTTGATATAGGAATACATAATATATTTTTATATCAGATACAATAATGTTTAAGTATGCTAGAACAGTCAGGGTTCAAATAGCCACACGCATATAGTAGCACTGGAGGACATGGTGCAATAAACAGTTCATTTCTGTGGTCCTATGTCATCAAGGAAAGATTTGATTCCCTTGTGCTCATTCTGCTTTAAAGAAATGGAGCAGTGTGTGATTCTTTTCCATCCAAATACTTGTGTGCTGAGTATTCCAGCATCAAATGGACATTAGTTACTTGAAGGGAGTGTAGATATGGACTGTTCTCCCTCCACCAGGGACGATGGCATGTGGCCTGCTTTCTGTATCTCCCGTATGACTGCCTCTTTGTCCAGAAGAATCGCAAGCTGATTGGCTGCACACTGACTTGGCTGAGCTGAACCCTCAGATGAAAATCAGCCAGACTCCTTTTCCACAGCAGAGCTGAGCCTGCAGACAGCTACCTGCAAACCTTTTATCCTCCAAGGTTGCCCTGAGCTCAGATAGCTAGGCACAGTGGTGAGTTCTAGGAAATGAGAAGAGGATGTGAGAGCAAAGCAAGACTTGGTTTTTCTGACTTAGTAGAAAAAGTCAGAGAGCAAACTAAAAATCAGAGAGACATAGTCACCATCTGAGGCTCTTCACATGTAGCTGGGTCATGCTACCTCCCTGGTAATCTCTGTGTTATATGTGTACCTGAGGATTCTAGCAATGTGCCCCAAATGAAAATGAGATACTTTCTTTAAACCTTAATGTAACAAAGATTCTATTTCCCAGGGTGTTAGCATATTAGAACAATTAGTGCCAAACTATAATATTTTGACATGGTAATGAAATGGAATAGTTGGTTTTATTATATCGCTTCCTGTAAATCTCGAGCAAAGCTGTTATGAGATTTTTAAATGATAGAGTTTTTGAATATTAGTAAGGACAAGCAGGTAGTATTTGAAGAGACCAGGATTTAAAAGACAATGGTGAGCTAAGGGTGTATAGGGAGAGACCCTCTGTAAGAAACAGACTGTTAGGTATGTAAGCAAGACCTGCTTAATGCTGTAGATAGGTTGGAAAAATCAGTGAGCCATTTCTCTGTTTTTCTCCCTCTCCACTTCTCCACTTCCACTTCCTTCTTCCCCACATTCTTTTTCCTCCTTTCCCCTTCTCTCTTCCTTTTGTGTCACTCACTGCTCCTTTTCCCCGTCCTTTCCTTGCCCTAAGAATTACTGACGACTTCATATATGCCTGACAGTGGACCACATGTCTTTTCATAATTAAATGTGAAGTTTCAAATAAGCATATCTCATGAATTTAATAACTAATATTTGCACCGAAATGTAAAGAAATGGAATCATGAAGTAACCTGTTCAGTGTCACAAAGCTTGTGATTGGTAGAGTTGGGATCGGAAATCGCTTCCCTCCAGACCTCCCGCGGCATCCCTGGCACACAGAGAGTACTCCATTAGAACAGCGATGAGCATGATAATGATGTTGGTTGTTGATGGTGAAGAATGAAAAGAATCAAGCCAGAAGAGTGAACCGACTTGCACAAGCCTTCGCAAGCATCAATGAGAGGGGAATTAATACAGTTTTCTGATTCCAGGCCGCTCTTCTCTGCAGTGTGAGGTTGCTGAATATATGAAGAGAAATTCTAGGACATGAAGGTCTAGAAACATTCAATCCCCTTTCCTGATTCCAAGTTCTGAACCTGTGCTTCTTTTGAATGGCTTTGAAGTTTTAAATAGAATTACTGGGGACTCTAAAACAATGACAAACTCTTTTAGGTTAATATTTGTTTCCTTATGTTCAGAAAGAAACATAACAATATTATAGCAAAAGCACTTCTTTCTTGACCTAATTTCAAAATAGAAAGGGGGGATTTCACTGTAGATTGTGGAGGATTATACTCAATCAGTCATTACCTGATGTATCAGAAGTCACTGTCTTTTCCAGGCACAAGGTCAGAAGCTCTCACTCAAGGTTATCTGATGACTTGAGATTGAGTGGGTTATAGATATTGGCTGTCCACTGTAGCAGCTAACCTTAGATGAGACATCACATAACCACGAGTGACACTGCAGACTGTCAGCATTTCACAGTTGCCATTCCATTTCCTCTCCTCCATTGTGAAAAGCACATGCAGGTGATAGACGGGGCTCCGTAGTCCAGGCCTCACCCTTATCAATTTTAAAAATAGAAACATATTGAACTCCCATCCCATACTTACCTTCATAACCTTTGTTTTTTCTTTCAACTTGGTAAAATCATACACATGTTCCATTCAAGGACTGGCACAAATATTTACTACTTCTCTAGGAAAGTCTCCAAATACTCTGTAGCTCCCTGATTGTTCCTAGTATTCACAGCTAATATACTTGTCCCTGTTAGGAGGTAACATTGAAAGTAAAGACTGAGTTTTGCTTTGCTGGTAGGGTAGTGGTTTTCAAGGACTTGGACAGATTAGTGCACAGATACATAACTGAATGTTCAGACTGGTATATACCATGTGCTACCAGAGGTTTAGAAAAACAGAAGTGATTGCAAATTCTGTTTTCCCAATAACAAGCAGATGATGCTGGCAGGTATCAGTGAAAAGGAGAACTTCTAAAGTAGAGGTTGGCAAGTAATGGCCTTAGGGGTACATCTTGCCCTCTCATACCTCCAGCAGATTAAGAATCACTTTTAAATGATTGTAGTGGGAAGGATAAAAGAAAGGAAGAATAATACATCATGATACATTAAGATTATTTAAGATTTAAAATAAAAAGTTAGGGGCTGGGGATTTAGCTCAGTGGCAAAAGCGCCTGCCTTTTGCTCAGTGGCAAAAGCGCAAGGTCGTGAGTTCGGTTCCCGGTACCGGAGAAAAACCAGAGAAAAAAAAAAATAAAAAATTTAAAAAATTAAAAAATAAAAAATAAAAAGTTAAATGATGGAAATTCTAATATCCTTTTCACAGATACATGGCAACATTTCTTAGAATACTAGCATATCCTCTTTCTGTGCTGTCTAGGACAGTTTTGCACAAAACAACAGTGTAGAGTAGTTACAACAGAGACTGTGCATCTCTCAAAGCCTCCCTGAAATGTTTGCAGTGAGGCTCTTTGCAGAGAAGGCGTGCCCTGCCCTGCTCTGAGTCATTTTTGGGAGAGTCCAGCTCTCCGTTGCTGGAGAGGAGAGCGGTTGGTGGCACAGAGTGCCTGGAAGCAAAGAAATCCAAATACAAACAAAGAGGAAGCAAAGGAAGGCAGGAGTGATGGAACCTTCGAGTTTCCAATGTGTGGGCTGCAGCCATCTCCACAGAGGAGTCTCATAGATGATGGTGCAGCTGTGCTCCGCCCAGAGGCAGAGTGTGGGTATTTCACACCAACTTCCTGCCTGCCTCTACAGACTGAGTGGCTCCAGTGGAGAAACTAGAGGGCGAGCTCACTTCATCAATAAGACCTGAAGGGCTCTATGTCCCTGTTGTTGCCAACTTGACTCTAGTAATGTGTTTTGTGTGTTTTCCAGAGAAATCTATTTGTGTGTGTGTGTGTGTGTGTGTGTGTGTGTGTGTGTACGGGTATGCCTATCTGTTTTTGAGAGGATCTCTTTTGGGTATATGCCTACTAATTTTCACATGTGTGGGGATCACTAAACATTTGGGATTTTCAACTCAAAATGAATCAACTGGAACTTGGCTGAAACCAGTTTAATCACTTGGTGACTTAGAGTTGTCGTTCTTATAGGTTAGAAATGTGCCATTTCATGGGTTTCTTCTATTTTCTTGTTACAGGGTAATGCCCTGTACTTCAAATCTGCCAGAAATGTGACCGTGAACATTCTCAACGATCAAACTAAAGTGCTAACTCAGCTGATAACAGGTAAGAAAGGAAAGAACCTAGAAATGCCTGGTCCGTGCAAGGAACTCAAAAACTGGAGACTTGAAGGTGAAATGAAACACCTTGAAAAGAAGGTTCTCAACCTGTTCACAGTGTTGAGATAGAAAATACAGCGTATAGTTCACGGTAGTTCACAATTTACACCTGTCCATTGATCCAGTGATATCTGCTCAGGAGGAAAAAAAAAAAAAACAACACATTTTCATGGATCATGGTCTCTAAAGTCAAGCCAGTTGCTTCACCAGGGTCTCAACCAAAGAAAGGCTCCCAGTTCCAGCGCTGGAAGAAACACCGGGCGTGTTAGCTAGACTGAGGGAACTGCACATGTGCAAAGCCACACACACTTCATTAGGCGTTTAAAGGGATTTTTCATGATAGTTTGAATCTATACCGTGTTTGTTATATGTTTTCACTTTGGACCCAATGTATTTGCAAGATGCAGATGTATCCATGAAATAGGTTTGTATGGTTCTTTTTAAATAAAAGATCTGCTTCTAGTAGCTGGGAAAAGGACCCACTGGGCTTTAAACTGCACATTCGCAAAAGATTGGTTATTCTTAATAACAATACGCATGGGCCTCATGACCATGGTGTTGTGTTGTGTGGTGTGATAAGTGTACCCTCTGCAAATTATACACAGTGAAAAAGAGGCATCATGCAGCCCTTTGTGGAGAGGGAAAGGATACGTGTGTGTGTGTGTGTGTGTGTGTGTATGTATGGCATTGTTACACTTCCAGATGAAAATGCCATTTGTTTGGCCTCAGGGCTAAATGAAAAGTATCCAAATGGAAATTTTGAGAAGTCACTTGCTCCAAAACATTACTGTGACTAAAATTTCTGGAGCCCCACTGATCAGCAAGCCACAGGAAAACAGATGCCTTTATGCCCAGAGGCATTTCTCCTGAGGAGAGAGCCCCAAATCCCAGGACAACTACCTGCGGTGGTCTAGAGATGCTCAGCCACTGGGCGACTTGGACCATCCACCCGACAAGGCACTCACGGACTGGAGGAACTGCTGCACGGCAGAGCCTGTCCTCCACAAACACGCTGTTCCGGAGCTCAATTGGATTGCTGGCCTTGCTTCTATAACATCTGGCCTGTATTCGCCACGCTAAATAATTAAATAAACAGCTTCAGTAAGCAATGATTTAGATGGCATGTGTGAAAATTGCCTCCAGGAGGGAAATAAATCCAACTGCCAGCTCCCAGATTCCCTCGTTGGAAAGGAACTTATTTTGCCTGTTGATCGTTTGCCGTTTCTTTGCAGAAGATTTGGTTTACTTGAGAGATCTTTGTTTTGATAAAATTGGAAATGGCCAAATGACCTATTATTCACCAGAAGAGTCAGCCGCTCCCTCCCTTGACCTCTATGTCCTCATCATCCCCTCTCTGTCCGTGCCCCTCCCTCTTCCCCCATCCCTTCCCCCTTTTCTGTTCTTTTATCTCTTTCTATTCCTCCTCTTCTTTATCTACCCTCTCTTCCCCTCTCTTCCCCTCCCTTCCTTTGCCTTCTCTCTTCTGTTCTCCCTTTCTCATCTCTCTCCTTTCTTCTCTCTCCTCCCTCCTCTCCTTCTCTTACCTTCATCCTTCAGTATTCTGTGACTTTCTGTTTCCCATTACCAAATGAGGCTCTCATGGAAGCTGAGAGACCCCTACCCTTAACTCTCAAGGTGAATACTACACAATACAAGTCAAGTAATACAAAACTGAGATGGGCAAAAAGCCATTCTAATCTTAACCAAGAGGAGCCTTTCAAAATGATTTCTAGAGAGGATAATAGATGTGTTCACACTACGATTCTAAACACAGAAATGCACACAGAGCCACACACACACACGCGCGCAAACGTACACCCCTAAAGTTTTCCCTCAGGGATCTGCTTTAACGTTACATCTACAGACATAGTGGAAAGCAACACGCAGTTGCAGCAGACAGTGCTTTATAATTCCTGCCTCACTGGGTGGCGTACTTACCAGAAAGCAAATCACTCCCATCTTACAAGCAGTGGGATCTACTAAGGAGATCCTTTGGACGCAGGCATTCTCCCCTTAGCTAAAAAGTATCTTCAGAGCCCGTTAGAAATCCTAGTGTTAGGAGTTCAGATGATCTTTCGTGCATGAAACAATGCTTTCAATGACATCTAAGTTCCCACCTTAGTCCACGACATATAGATGGCCTGCAGTAGCGCTATTTTCTTGCCTCAGTAGTGACTGCAAACCCAGAATCCTCTGCCCTCTGAGGGGCGTGGTAGGGATGCCCTCCACAGCATCATCGGGAAGTGGAGAGGGGGATGCTCCCTTGGAAGGAATTAAGCTGGGTGGCCACAGCTCCCAGAATCAAGGCGCTGGTCTGATGTGGGTGAAGCTTATGCATCGTGAGGGGCTACAGCTTTCCTCCCTGTTTAGGAGATTAATTAGAAAGGCACTTCACACATAGACTATCACACACGGAGCGGATTAACTGAGGATTAGTTACACATTATAAATAGTGATTTTTTTTCTACTCCAGAGAGGAACAACGGGTCCACTGAGGGACCTCCTGAGCAGGCTTCAGCTTCATTTGCATTTCCCTCTAGGGTCATTGTTTAGGCTTTCAGTCCCGTCCAGGGAAGTTTGGCAGCCCCGGTGGAATCCACAAAGGGCAAGCTGTCTGCACCACTGAGCCAGCAGTTACTCTGTACGTTTTTGGCTAAAACTACCAATTACTGAACCTTAGCTATAAAAGTGGCTCTAGCCCTTGGTAAATTCCATTTTGTCTTCTGTGAAGCCCTGAAAAGCAAGATAACTTAATTGTACTTTGTATTCTCTAATTGCTGTGATCTCTACAGTACACTTTCCTATAAGGCACTTCACACATAGACTGTCTCACCAGCCATTCAGGACTGCAGAGTAATCTCAGTCCACAGCCAGGCAGGAGTCCACAGCTGATGATCCTGCCCAGGTCAGCAGAGGCAAAGTCTACGTCTTTGTGTCCTCTGCTTTGGCATATGACTGGTTCCCAATGTGCAAACTGCTGTGATCCTTTGCTCACCCTCGGGTCATTCATTTACTCGCTCACTCATCCTCACTTCGTTATGCCCTCGTTCCTTATCTCTCTTCCAAAGAAAGTCACTGTCTTTAAAGTATTCACAAATGATGAAGATTTTACCTGATGTTTTGATGCAGTCACAAAGACAGCTGCCTCTTGCTCCCCACAGACATACCTAACACAGTGGTGGTAGTAGTAGGGAACCTCTGGCATGTGTGCTGCAGTGTTTGTATCCTTGAAAGCTCTAAGAGGTTCGCCATCACTGAATCCAAATCCCGCACTGCACATCACTGTTCTTCTCAACCTTCCTCTGGTCCTTGTCTCTGATTTTCTACTTTCCCTCATCCTCAAAATGTTCACCAGCTCCTGGCTATTCTATTCATGTGGACTCCAGTCCTCTTTACCTTCCTGGACAAATAAACCTCACTTATCTTCTGTGGAACAGTTCTGAAAGCTGGATTCCAGACTGGGATTTCACCAAGCTCAGCACTGGCCTTGAAGGAGCCCACAACCTGGCTGCTGCTCCTTTTGCTCACCGGTGCTGCTTGGAAATTCTCTACAGTCTCTACTGTCTCAGCCTCTGGCTCATTGAGGAGCCTTTCTACTGTCCTTTTCTGTGTCAGAAGGCCAGTGTTGGACGTGCTAGCTAGAGATGAGGTCTGCCAGATGGATACGATCACGTGAACTGCGAAGTGCACAGAGAGGAACTCGTCATTAATAATTGTTAATGCGCCGTGACCACTGATGTAGAAACAAGCTGACGATCGTGGCAGTGATGGTGATAACAAGAGAAGTCCTTACTTTTCACAGCACTTTTCCACTGACAGAGTTCTTTCTATAAATTCAGTATCATTTGATCCCTTCAACCTTTCTATGAGGTTCGTGAAGGAGTAGATGGTATTTCAGTTTTATAGGCAGAGAAACTGAGGTTCATAAAAATCAAATGATTTGCTCAAAGTCACATTACCAAAAAGTGAGAGCTGGAACACAATTTATGTCTGATTCCTAACGCAGCACGGTGGTATTAAAAACAAGAAAACCATGCCAAGGGCTCGCCTGCAGCTATCAACCAGGCCTCCATGTTCCCTTGCTTAAATGTAAATAACTTTACAGGACATCACAAAACAGGGTCACTCATTGGTTATAAAAGATCCAGACAACAAAAGAACGCACACACACACACACACACACACACTCAGACAGCTCTCATCAACTATGAACTCGGACTGAAAAAGAACATTAACCGTACCACAACAAACACCAAACATCTCCTGTCCTACTGAATATAAGTAATTAATTTCTGTGAATGTGACCAATTTCATTTTGTCTTGGTCTTTTCTACTTGTAGGTAAGATTTATTAAGATACCCTGGCACAAAACCACTCTTATTTCCTGAAAGTACTTCATCTTCATTTTGCTTTCTTAGCACCTTTGTAAAAATATCCTTAGGATGAGGTCAGATCCTACAGGGAGTCATAGGGTCTTTCTGAGAGGCTCTGGGGTTGCCCATCGTGTGGCTTTACCCTCCCTCGCCAAGGATGAAGCCAGTATCGTTCCCCTGCAGGTGTGATCCTGGTAGTCTTTGGCTGGTAAGCCTCGAGGACCCTTTCATTACTACTCAGTAATATTCTCTTGAAAAAAAAAAATACCTAAAACAAAACCAAAAAAGTGTATCAGAATTTCTTATGTAATTTTGGGAAAATATAGATTTTGGACTCTATCAAGTTTGTAAGCATTTCTAGATCAAACGAAAAAAATCTTGATCAGAGCTGGGTTAAGTGAGGATCATTATACGTGAGGGTTATTCTGATGGATTTCTGTAGACCAAATTGCAGAAGCCACATGAGCTACCAGCTCAGACAGACTGACACGTCTGTCTGAAATGTTCTAACACATAAACCTCTTTTATTTTTTGTATAGTATCTAAAACTCTTTGTGATTTTTCCAGTCACTTATTCATAAATTGTAAAATTTGTATCAGTCTTTCCTTCTCCATCATAATATAGATGTGAGGGGATCAAAGGTTTCCTCTTCCCTGTGTACCACACTAGACAGCCCACTTGCAGGAAGAGCATCTGTTGTCAAATGATGAGCTGAATTTATTTTCTATTAAGTTTATTGGTACAATTTAGATACACATGATACACATTTCTTTATTGAGTGAATTTCTAGCATAAAAGACTTGACAATATCTGTGGCAATTAATTCCAATATATTACAGTGGTTTCTGCCAGGAAATGATCTGGCTTCTGAGGAAATAGGCTTGACTTGGTGTCACATGCAGCCAGTGGGTCAAGGGTACAGGAGGAGACAGAATCCAGCAGAATTTTGAGGAGTTTGACAGTGAGGGCTACCAGGGACAGACAATTGCCTCGAGGAATGGTGTGCCTTGTGAGCCTGGATGCATTCAACCAGAAATCTACACCTGCTTGACACTAATTTGGTGGTTAGCAGAGGGGAATTCCATTCAACCATTAGTTTGGAAGGAGGACATGATGGTCTTTAAAATCATAGCCTGAGAGCATATGATTAAAAGTAATTGACAGAATATGACTCAAGTCAAGAGACTGATTTTCACGGTCGGCTTCTGAAAACCAGTCCACTTAACATTAAAGTCCAACCCAATCTTGTCAGGCATATATGTTCTATGAAAAGCTTTTTGTAGTCAAATGCAATGAGACTAATGTATTTCTGCTTTCTCTTTCTCCCTGTCTCTCCCTTTTAGGTCCAAAAGCTGTAGAAGCTTATGGCAAAAAGTTTGAAGTAAAAACAGTTTCTGGAAAATTGCTCTTCTCTGCAGACGACAATGAAGTGGTAGTAGGTGCTGAGAGATTAAGAGTTTTAGGTAAGGAAATTTGGTCTCATGCTACCATATATGTTTTAAAGGAAAACTAAAATGGTCCAATGGATGGGATGTTTGCTCCCCACCAGGAGAATGTATATGTTGAAATTCTAATCCCCAGTGTGACAACATGTAAAAGTGATGCCTTTGCAAGATAAGTAGGTGTTGAGAGTGGAGCCCTCATAAATATGATTAGTGCCCTTATAGAGGTCTAGAGAGACTGGCACATGTGCTCATGAGTACATGCATGCTTCCTTGTGTCTGTCTGTATGTCTCTCTCTCTCCTCCCCATTTCTTCTCCCCTCTCCCCTCTTCTCACTCCCCCTTTCCCCTTCCTCCTTCTTTCTCCTCTCCCCAACCTCCCCTATACAAGGATACACTGAGAAGTTAGCAGCCTACAACTGGAAGAGAGCTCTCATCAAAACCCAATCAGGCTGAGACTCAATCTCAGAATCCCAGCTTCCAGAATTGTGAAAAATAAAGTTCTGCTCTTTATTGATAACCCCCCAGTCTATGGTACTTTGTTATAGCACCCCAAATTGAAACAAATGATTCTAAAAGAGTAACTGGGTCCAGTTTCCTGGATTTTTAAAACAAGGTAGTTGAACCTCCCTGGAGTCCCCTGGTGAAAATTTTTCAGGCCTTGTATCCTTTTGGTGCACCTTCCAGGCCAGAGATTTGGGTTAGGATGTGTGCTCATGGAAAGAAATGTCATACAGCGTATACTGTCCTCACAGACTGACAGTTTTGCTTGGAAGAGTGGAGATGGTAGGCATGAAAACACAATCCTTAGACCTGGATCCAAATCAAGAATCATCGAGGAAACTTTTGAAATGTTTAGATTTATATATCCACCCATGACCTACTCAATTAGATGCTGTGGTGGAAGTGCCTGAGAATTTGGTAGTATACATACTTGCAAATGTTTCCCTCATCCCACTGTTGGAGTTGCTGAATTCAAGCACAGAGCAAATGTCTTCCATAGCTCTACGCTGGAGCTGTCCCACATGTCAGCTCGTGTCCTACTCGTGTATGACTTTTAGCAAGTGACTGCCATCGCTGAGCCTGTTTCCTTTCTGCTCAACAGGGATAAAAGCATTTAGCCTCTCAAGTTGTCTGAGAATTAAATAAGATTATGCTTGGGTCTCATACACAAAAATGTTATTCACCAATGGGTGCAGGTGCTGCTTCTGTTTCCACTTGGACTACTACTGCCATTTACACTAATCCTAAGTTTTCTGTTTTGTTTCCTAAAAGGCACTGTAGCATAGTGGTTAAAATCACAGGCTCTGAGACTAACTCACTGTGATTTTAACCCCATTTCTGTTCTTAAGCAAGCTATCTAACCTGCTTGGGTCTATTTGTTGAGCTACAAAAATTAGTGTAATAGAATCTATCTTCCCAGATTGTTGGAAGATGGAAGGAAATAATCTATGCAGAACAGTAAATTGGCTGAAATATTAAGTGCTCAGTAAGTGCTAGCTGTTATTATCTTAAATTAACAGTGTAAGTTCTTTTGATTGGAATTATCTGCTCTCTGCATTATTATTTGCACTTTACATCTTCTCTCAACTCCATTATTTTTGTGCTCTTCTGGGCTGGCACCTCTGCCCTTAGTCAATCTGCTTATCTGGTATCTCCTCATGCCACGACTTCTCCCTTTCCCCACCTCCATATAATACACATTTATATCTATATTTGTTGATGGATAATTCTTAAATCTCCAGCCCCAGTGTCTTCTCTGAATTCTAGATTTTCCCCACATCTGCATATTCCAACCTCTAACTTCTCAAAGTAGGAGATTTTGAGTGCCTAGAATAGTCTAACAATCCACACACACACACATACACGCACACACACACGCACATGCACACATACTCCACACTGGCCAAATTCTTTTGGTACTGACTTCCCTCTTCCAGGCTCCTCAACACACAAGCATTGTCTACTCAGCAGAGTTAGAAGTTGGGAGAGTCTAGGGGGCTGTGTGGTGGCAAGAATGCGGGGTGCAGAGGCAGATGGGCAATGGACAGTCTCATGCCTAGTCAGGTGATTCCTTGTGGTGTGACCTAGCCACCTACCTTTAGCCCTCAGGCCTTTAATTTTTCCTGGCTGTAAAATGAGAGTTGTTATCTGTGATCACATTAGTGGTATTTCACTTAGAGAATAATATAGGATACAACCTGTCTCTCTCCATCATTTGCATTTGCTCTCTTTGCTGTAAAAGCATAGAAAGGAAGCATCAAAATAAATACCACTGCTGCTAACAGTGCTTAAAGCATTTGGAAAGGACCACCCCATAAATCTCACATCAACCTTCTTGGTAAAATGAGCCCAATGTGTTGCAGGAATGAGCTTCCTGTCAGCTGGGATTCAGCCATATGGTGTGGAACCAGAAGTTTAGGCAATTGCATTTTCAGCTTAATGAGAAGTTTGCCTCTTTGTGCAGCGAGGCTGTACGAGCTCTTGGGAGGTTGGAATATGGATGCATATTTCATGGTAGCATCTGATATAGCTGGGTGTGAGTCATTGCTCTCTTTTAGGATCCAAGTGACTCTATCCAAGTCTGCTTTCTTTTCTAAGCTTTAATTTCCATCTGTCTAAAGCAAAAAAGAAGGAACAAAATAAAGAATGATTGAATATCCTAGTAGATATCAGCAAGTATTATGTAAAAATCATTTGTTTTAGTTGCTGGTCAGTGGACAGGGATAAGCTGTAAGAGACTAAAATAATAATGCCTTTTGGATGTGATGGCTGTACTCATGGGCTCAGAACAATTTATAAAATTCTTCTCTGGGCTGAAGATGTAGCTCAGTGGTAGAGATATGCCTAGCATGCAGAAGGCTCTGGGTTCAATCGTTCTTGACACACACATACACACACGCGCACACACACACACACACAATCTCTGTATAATGACGCCCACCTCTTCAGTTTCTGAGACAGTGACAATTGTCAGCATACCCAAGGAACTTTGACTACTATGGCAAAAGACTTAGAAGCCATGGCTCTTAAAGAATGGTTCAGTTATCTGGAAACTTAGCACCTGGGGAAGATATGACAAGGTGAGGGAGACATAAATAAAGTGTAGGGAGGGTGCTGTTATTGCTAGCAGATTTATGCATGTCTCTCTTGGGGAAAGAGAGAAGAAAGAGTTGAATAATTAAGCACAAGCTTTATAGTTAGCTCCAGCTTGAAATACTTGTTGCTCTCACTTGTCTACTGTGGCCTGGGAACTGTGACTCCACTTTTCTAGGTATCCTTTTACTGCCCCGTGTGTCTGGCTCTCAGCACTTGGAAGAACAAAATGGCACGGTGGGTGAGTGGAGAGTGAATCTCACAGTAAGCACTCGATGCCTGCTATTGTTTTGTTGGCCATGGGGATTCTGTTGGTCAACTTGTGCTTCACAGAACCCATGGAGACCTGAAATTTTCTTCAACCTTTGTGCAATCACAAAAGATGTCAGCTTAGAACTTTATAGGGGTATTCATGTATCAGATAAATCCATACAAGTACATTTCCTCAACACAGCTGGGGCCAGAATAAATCTTGGAAGTACCACACTGCCCTGTGTGCAGGTAAAGATCTCATATATGTGTTCTCAAGTTGGAATTTGGTAATGGAGGAATTAAAGGCATGGTTGATTTCCAATATTATTGGGCTTCTTCCCACTCACTATGATAATTGGTCCTGAAAGTGGTTCTTGGATGGAGAGCTGAGCTGTGGGCTACTTCTTAGAGGGGCAAACTCATGCTGATTCCTAGACCTACTGAAACTCTGGTGGAGTCAGAAAGATGTTGCTGCGATTCTGACACTCAGTAATGTTTGTACACCACTAAGGTAAGACAATCACAGGGAAGTTATTTTGGAGCAACTCTGTATTACTTTTAGATGAGAATAGGTTCTGTTTCAGCCACAGAAACCCATCAAAGCTATGCTATAAACACAGCTAACACACAAATGTTTACTCTATGCAAAGTGTTAAAGTCATCACTTACCCTGGAGAAATGTACTTCGTCCTGAAAACAGTCTCAGGAGAAGCACATAAGCTTGTCATCCTCAGTTACAGGTGACCAACCCGAGGCACAGAGTCATCCCACAACTTGCCTGAAGTTCCACAGAGAACAAATGGCAGTCAGGGTTGAGCAGAGGCAGTCTCACCCATTCTAGTCTGCATCCTGTTTCACGACAATCTTCAGCATCTCCAAACTGCACAGCACAGTGGCATCCTAAGAAAGCAAGAGACAGTTGTGCAAGAGGTTTCTGAAATCCTCTCCTTCTGACATTTTTGCCTGCTGTTCTCACATTTCTCCTACGTAAGTTGTGTGGTTTCACACTTGGGGTCACCTATGTGAAGACTCCCTTATAACTTACTCCTTATTTTATCCTTTTCATATTTCTATGGAAAATCCCACATCTACAGATGTTCTAGGTGTGATTTCAGCATTTGCTTCATTTCAGATGACTGCCAGGTCTGTATTTGTCCTGAACCGCCTTCTCAATCCTAGTTTCAGATTTCCAGCATCCTGGACTCTATTCCCTCACATGAGGATCTTTGCATCACTTCTGTGTCATTGCTTGCACCTGAATTTATGCCTCTTCCTAACTCTTTGCCTCTCCAAGCCCACATCCTTAATTCTCTTTAGGAGGCCACCATTATCTCAGTCTTCCAGGTCTTGCCATCATGCCCATATCAGGTAAATATAATGTTTTATGTACTTGGGTTTTCAGTGGTGCAAAGCTATCTAACACTAAAGAATTTAGGTTCATAGTCAGGTCTATCCACTTAATTATCAAAAAGGCATAAAATTAGTGTGCAAGATGAGGCATGATATAGTTAGTTTTCACTATAGAAAATAGGCATTAAATATTGTATAGGAATAACCTTTAGAAAGGCACAAGAAAATAAGCAACACAAGAAGCCAGGGCATCTAAGATACACATTCATTTCAACACCAGGGAAAACATGACTTTGGTTATCATTAATGACCAATTTCACTGA